ACATTCCTTTTCTTTTCACAGTTTTACTGGGAGGTTATACGACTCCCCATAACTTACCCGCACCAAGGATAAAGTTTCTTATTCTCCGGCAACGAAGGCGTCGCCAACCGTCGTGGTGTATAAAACACATTTTGCATATTGCGCCTCACATATTATGGGATAACACCAGATAAAAACAATTTATAAGTAGTCAGTATCGGTTATTGACATCCAACTTTAGATATATAGGGATAATTTCTGAAAGCAATTACATTGATTATTTTGCAGAAGATAATTACTTGCCTAGTTATTGGATATACAGTACAGTATACTCTTCGGTTCGTCAGCTACAGCTTTACACCATTTAATATTAATAAAAATATCAGACAGTTAACCAAACCAATGCACTTTATTGTATTTTTTTTAACAGGCAACTATTTTTGTACTGTAGTGATATAAAGGATATCTAGGTATTTTACAAGCTGTCCGGGACCCAGTGTGCATGGTGGGCATTCGTTATACACAAATCTAATCATTCATTATCGACTGGTGTTACCTCTTATGTGAAGTTTCCATAATGTTCACCATCCCGTACAGCCGTCTACATGCGAAGTCCACCAATTATACGCGACCACACTATCTCCATGCAGCATTGAGGGAGCCGCCGACGCCATTTGCAATATTTTGGCGTCGGCAACTACTTGCAGACGGTAGACACGAACTTTTTTTTTCACTCACACAATATCCTCCCATTTTATTATTATACTGATTTTTTAGCCCTTTATGTAGAGTATTTAACTAATTAATCTTTAGGAATATAATATATTACGAATAAATCATATGAGATAATATCGACAGAAATTAAGGACTACAGTATGTACTCTTTTTTTTCTTTTTCTTTTTTTACGGGATTGGCTCACCAAGGCACAGGTCAAATAACCCACATCAGGGCCTGGGGCGAAAATATAATAATAATAATAATAATAATAATAATAATAATAATAATAATAATAATAATAATAATAATAAGTTAATAAAAATTCATAAAAAAATATTAAATAAAAATAATATAATAGTAATAATAATAACAAGAATGATAATAACACTAATATTAATAATAAGGGACCATAAATAAATGCAAAGATTTTAAAAAAGATCAATAGTGAAAAACAATATATGTATGTTGTGTTGTCAAAGTAAGAGGCAAGAGAAACAATTGAGACCCTAAAATGAGGCAAAAAGTCAGATCAGCAACCTGAGACTTGGTCACAATTTTTGTGATGCCATGTGACAGCAGGGTCTTTCGTTAGACAACACTTTATGCTTCCAATATCTTCATAGGCGGTAGTACCTCCCAGTTTGATAGCTGCCTATACTACCTACTACCAGTGGCGGCTCGTGAAAAATAAAATGGAGGGACTGCAAGCCTCACACAACAATAGGATACACAAATTTGACCTACCTCAGGTATGAGTTGTAGTTGATGTCCACGAATTCCCAGGGCATGGTAGTAGTGTTGGTGGTAGAAGGGATGGCCGAGGTGGTGATGGACCAGTAATAATTGAAAATAAAGTCGGCGTGTCTGCTCTTCGATGTAGCAAAATTGTTTATTACTATTTCATTAAAATCCTTTATTTCTGTTATAATTTTATTTTCAATGGATATCACTGCTAAAGCAGACAGTCTGTCATTTAATGTCAGCTGGGAAAAGTTGATGTTTTGCAAATACTTCACTCGATTTTCCATCGTCAAAGGGTAATTAAAGTAAGCACGATTTAACCACACCGTCCACACGTTGTACGAGACTAAGCTGCGCCAAGTGCGGCGGCGGCGCCAATTAATAACAGACATGAATCGTACAGCATTGACAGCAACTATGAAAGTAACTTAAATTTTGGTCTGATTTTAATGAAAATTCACTTAGCAACGTATTGAAAATAATTAAATAACATATAAAATGATATATTTGTTGGTAGTGTATTATTCAGCTGTCTCTCTAAAGGAATCATACGCCTGGCAGTGAGTGTCTGGGGGACTGCAGCTCTGCAGCCCTATGCACGAGCCGCCACTGCCTACTACCTATATAACATCGCGTTTATAGTCTATCAAATACTATATTATAGTCTTCGATAGAAATGTTGTAGGTCGTGCGACTGGGCGAAAAAAGATAACAGTTCCCCCATTTACAGAAACCCATTTGTATAAACCCAACAGGTATAGACTACGGTTAGTTGATTAACGGTTAGACAAGATAGAAATGTCTTAAGAAAAAATTGTGTTGGTAGATTCGTCTGTGTGTAATATATTGTACAGTCGGGGAAAAAAGTCTTGAACACTTAGCAATATCTGGCATCTACTTCTTAGTTATATATATATATATATATATATATATATATATATATATATATATATATATATATATATATATATATATATATATATATATATATATATATATATATATATATATATATATATATATATATATATATATATATATATATATATATATATATATATATATATATATATATATATATATATATATGATTGGGATGTACTAATAATACTACTAGTCATCACATATTATGCCTGAACCTGGTGGTACTAAATTGGCTTAATAAACCTTACTATCAAGATACGAATCTCCATTATAAAATGTAGGGACGTGTAGGGATATTTTGCTAAATCTTAGAGGCACATAGGGACATTTTGCTTTTCTCTTAAGGATTTTTCAGACAGAAATCCATATTTTAGTTGGCAACAATGCTTCGTGCAGCGTGGCTTTGTTGTTCACAAGGCAAATCGCCCTTTCCCAGCATTAGTTATTGATCATGCACACGAACAAAACAATGTAGTTGTGAAAGGAGATGGTGGGGCAGTCAGTTTGATGCAAAACCCAAAATCTCTCTTGCTGTTTATAGATGACTACGAAACAGTTTCCCTTGAAAACAGCACCGATCAGACAAGCATAAGTTGTCTGCATAGGCCACATTTGCTCGCAAAACCAGATTTTTCCCAGTGTATTTTCTGTTGTTTTAAGTGAATCCGACCTTCATTTCCGTCGCAAATGAGCCGTTATTGAGATATGACCCTCTTCCCCTTAATTACCAACACTATAGGTCATTCAGAGTGTGCAGCGCTTTGAAGTAAAGGGAAAATATGGGGTAAAATAAAATAAAAAAAACACCAAACAAACATTTAAAGCCTTACCTAACCTTTCCTAGCCTGTAAAAAAGTTAGATTCGCTTTCGAGTTTATGGGATACTCCTTATCTGAACACCGACAACAACACAACCATCACATGTGGGTGATTTGAAACTGTTGCAGTTGGTAACTTTTTCCAGGCAATTATCGAACACAGTCTGAACATATCAAATATAATTACGCTATTTTCATAAATTGTCTTAACAACATTACACAATACACATTAAAACATATTGTTTTGTGGGCCATGCGATTGAGGCGGGAAATTCAGATAAATTGAATATGAATGACGTTCATCTACACTGTGTGAATTTTGTTTACCAAATTTTATGATGTAAAATTTTTTATTCCAGAAACAAAAATTGAATGTGTAGAAGATAAGATACATTATTTCTTTCTGTACTCTGGATGACAGTGAATGTAAAACAATATTTTATATATTTCCATGTTTATTGGAAGAGAAAAAAAAGCTGTGAATTGTGTAAAAAATAAATAAACAATATACTGTAAAGATGCAGAACTGTTACTTATCAAATATTTACCTACGGCCTAGAAAACATTGCGTTAATGTTCGAAATAAGGCAAACAGAGTATTGGGTTTTATATCTAGAAGTGTAAGTAACAAGAGTGCAGAGGTCTTATTGCAACTATATCTCGCGCTAGTCAGGCCGCACCTCGATTATGTGGTTCAGTTCTGGTGCCCTTATTATAGAATGGATATAAATTCACTAGAGACGGTGCAGCGAAGAATGACGAAAATGATTCCGGGACTTAGAAACCTTCCATATGAGGATAGGTTAAAGAAACTAAACTTGCAATCCCTAGAAAGACGAAGAGTGCGGGAGATATGATAGAAGTATTCAAGTGGGTGAAAGGAATCAATAAAGAGGATATAGATAAAGTTCTTATAATATCCGAGCAGCATAGGACTCGAAGCAACGGATTTAAGTTGGATAAGTTTAGGTTTAGGAGGGAGATAGGAAGGAACTGGTTCACAAATAAGGTGGTGGACGAGTGGAACAAGCTTAGCAACTATGTAGTAAGTGCTGGAACGCTGGAAAGTTTCAAAAGGAGACTGGATAGATTCATGGATGATAGAGAGTGGTAGTAACTCGACAGGAGCTGCCATGCACAGGCCAACCGGCCTATTGCAGACTCCTTGTTTTCTTATGTTCTTATGTATGGTTACAGTCTGGTTGATATTGCCCATTGGATAAAAAAAATAAAAAATAAAAGATATATATATATATATATATATATATATATATATATATATATATATATTTATTTATTTATTTATAGCGTGTAATGTGATTGGATATGCTCTCCGTTGTTAATACTCCAACTACTGTACATCAATAACTGTTTACTTCATCTGTCGAGTTATTTTTTCACTAGTATTGTGATAACCAGATGCAAGCAGTATATTTTGGTATCTTATTTAGAATATGAGGCTGAATCTTACTGTTAAAAATAATCCTTTGTATACTCTATCTATAGATTAAACGACCATTAGTGATATATGACTATGAATACTTAAATATATTGCTTGAATAAAGCAAATTAAAATGAACAAATATGAAACGTTTTGCTGCTCTGTCTGTTTGTACACATTAGAAGATTGTAAAAACTTTCCAGTAAAGCTTGTATGATAACAATTATTACGAAATAAAAGATATCTTCTTATTAGGTAAATTATTTTTAAATAATAATAGCTAAATATTTAATATACTTGATTATTGATTATACAGAAAGGGAGAAACAAACGCGAATAAGTGAGCGCATGCGCAGACAACACTGACCGTGCGTGTGAGCCCCGTTTTGAATATCCAAGATGGCTGCTCTGTAGAGACAACTTTTACAGCTCAATTGTTTGAATGTACTCATAAAATGTAAACAAACAAATGTTAGCCGTTCAGCTTCTGCCCAGTGATTCATGTACGATATATAATTATATCTCCAAGATTTGACACTTGTGCGATAAGTAAAAGTCGCCTAAAACGTTTAATATATTGTTGATGTGGACAAGACAGTTGGTGTTTACATTGGTTTTTAAGTCCAAAGTGTTGTGTATTTCGAGTGATATGTGTTGTAAGTGAAGGAAAGAGTGCAATATAAGTCAGGATATAACTATACACCAGTGAAACACCATCTTCTCAAGCACAATTACCACAAGGTAGGTAATTTTAACCCTGTTTATGTTGTTTATAGTAAAAAGAAGGCGTGTGCCCGCCGAAATGTTCCCATTGACGTTTTTATAACTAAGGCCATATGTAGATCTTAACTGAACCATTGTCATACGGAAGTTGAAAAAAAATCGAATTATTTGTTATTGTTTTATCCTTGAGGCATATTTTGAGTTAAAGTTAGTTAAAGAAATGGTGTTTACAGGACTAGGGTGAGCAGTGTTGGTCTGGGGTAATGTTCTAGTCTAGGGTGGCAGAGTGGGCCACTTTGTCACTAATTTGAATTCAGGGTCCTCCAGTAAATAGGAGTGTGATATGAAAATAGGTACATTAGTTGGTTTCGTTAACAGTGAGTAATCATGGTTTGAACTGAACACTGAAAGACTCGTAGTTTTAAGTAGCTTAATGGCATCCCTAGTTAATGACTTAGCTGTACATAAGAACATAAGAAAATAAGGAGTCTGCAATAGGTGTTCCAGCACTTACTACATAGTTGCTAAGCTTGTTTCACTCGTCCACCACCCTATTTGTGAACCAGTTCCTTCCTATCTCCCTCCTAAACCTAAACTTATCCAACTTAAATCCGTTGCTTCGAGTCCTATCCTGCTCGTATATTATAAGAACTTTATCTATATCCCCTTTATTGATTCCTTTCACCCACTTAAATACTTCTATCATATCTCCCCGTACTCTTCGTCTTTCTAGGGATTGCAAGTTTAGTTTCTTTAACCTATCCTGATATGGAAGGTTTCTAAGTCCCAGAATCATTTTCGTCATTCTTCGCTGCACCGTCTCTAGTGAATTTATATCCATTCTATAATAGGGGCACCAGAACTGAACCGCATAATCGAGGTGCGGCCTGACTAGCGCAAGATATAGTAGCAATAAGACCTCTGCACTCTTGTTACTTACACTTGTAGATATAAAACCCAATACTCTGTTTGCCTTATTTCGAACATTAACGCACTGTTTTCTAGGCCGTAGGTCCGGGCTCACAAGTACCCCTAGGTCTCTTTCACAAGTCGACTTCTCTAGGTTGATGTTGTTAAGGCTGTATACATTGACAGTATTTTTTCTTCCAATATTAAGTACGCTGCACTTGCTGGTGTTGAATTTCATTTGCCATGAAAAGAAGTGCAATAGATATACGTACTTTCTTATGTTTCTGAACAGATACAAATGAAACACAACAATATTTTCTTCATGTATACTGTATAATCATTGCACCTTCGGTCCCCTTAAGCAGTATTGAACTTAGGCATAGTAATGTAATATATTTTTCATTGGGGGGGCTCAAGTAGAGGTAATATCTGCTTCTTGTTGCCATCACCCCCAACACACACAGCTGCTGTGACGAATCTTTTACCCCTCGAATGTAATTAAAAACACCAAGATCAACTTTGCATAGCTACTGTATATACCGTATTGTTTTAAATTCTTAAAGACTTAGTTTAGCTTTGCAGACTTAATTTTATTAACATATTTATTTCGTAGTGGATATAGGTACAGCAACCGTATTGATGGACTGTTGATATTGGTTAGGTTTGATTAGGTTAGGTGAGCCAGAAAGGCCATCTTAGTAAGTATTGTACAGTCTACCCAACATGCATGTGCATTAGGTTCCCGTACCAATAGACATTGATGTTTCACATATGGCTGCTGTACTTTAATCCTGTGCCTATTTATTTTCATACAAAGAATTTAATTGGGTGGTTATAACACAAACCAGCCAAATCAAACTACCGGATAATTTAAGATTGACAATAAAATAGTCAATCTTGGGAATATAAGCATGTCAAAAACTTCAGTGTTAGGCTGTCATAAATAATAACCAGTTAATAAGCCTTTTTTTTTTAATTCTTCCTGCACTCCTTTTATACCAGGGGTCTGCAACCCCCATTTTTCCGTGTGGCTGGAAAGGGGCACATTTATGACTGGCTGAGTGACGCCAAAAATTTTTACTGCTCGAAGACAGTTTCATATTTCCGTATTTTGTGCTGCTAAAGATTATGTATCCTAATTTCTCTCCAGAATTTATCACTTGGCTAGTGACTAGTGCTATTATTTTAATGCCGAATGCGTATATACTAATGATCTTTGTTTTAATTTCTTTATGGTTCCTTATTATTATTTTTATTGTTATTATTGCAGTGTTTTCATTATTATTATTGTTATCAGTATTATTTTATTTTTATTTTTGTATTTTTTATTATAAATTTTACTTATCTGAATTATTATTATTATTATTATTATTATTATTATTATTATTATTATTATTATTATTATTATTATTATTATTATTATTGTTATTGTTATTACGTTTTCGCCCCCCGAGCCCTGATATGGGTCGGTGACCTGTGTCCGGGTGGGCTAATACCCGTAAAAAAAAAATACTGAAAATGAAAGCTATGTTTAGTCTTAAATATCGGTCTTGTTTATAACAATTATCTGACACTAAAATATAGTCCTGCATTTCTGATTTTGCATTCAATTCTGTGGAATGCAGTACTGACTTATGTTGGCTTAGTATACCTGCTGCTGATCGCTGATTACTAGCACCATTAAGTGGCCGACTAGTGTATAAAGGTTGCGGACCCTTGTTTTACACCAAAAATTGAGAGCCATCCTTGGTCACCGATCCCTCAAAACACTTGACCCCAAGATACTAAAAAGAATACCAGTTCAAGAGGTCTATTACTGTCAATATGAATCATCCTAAAATGACTTAGGTATCCCAGTATGGCACAATGTATCCCATCCAGTTTGTTTGTAAGAACATTTGTAAAATTAAAAGTGAAATTAAAGTATATACCTGTACTTGTACCGGTACAGGCAGTACTAGTAGTAAATGAATATTGTGCAAAAGTACTGTATCCAGTAATTTTTTGGGTGGAGACATATTTTACCAACTGTGCAGCAGGTAATATACCTTACTTGAATTAGGCCAAAATATATCAAAATATACTAATATGGCACAGTTTACATCGAGTTTTTTGATGGGCAGGGTTACTAGGTAAAGGTAACCTGCAATGTATTGGTTATTATGCATGTATCACAAGTGAACGGTCTTGGGTTTGATCCCTGGGTAGGGTGAAACTATGGTCAAGTTTCCTTATGCCATATGCCCATGTTTATGTAAGTAATGGATAACATGAATGTTAATGGGTTTGTGGATCATGTTCTGGGGTAAAGGATATCCATTGCAGTTGGCAAGTTGTCCTGGCTTCTTAGATTGTTTACTGACACTGTGTCATACAGCTTGTTAACTCTGGGTGTGGCAGTTGTGTTATGATAGCTTCTACACCTTAAACAAATTTACACCTTGGTGGTGAGGTAAATGTGTAATGTGACACTGAAAGAGAGTAGCCCTAGCTGGGCATTGAGAGTATTGGTGAAGTTCTATACAGAGATGGCTTGGGCATGTGAAGAGAATGGATGAGGCCAGTTGGGTTAAAGAGATGCATGAGCCTAACACAGGGGGGGAGAGCCAGGAGTAGGTCAAGAATGACATGGGGAGGGGATCTTAAGAAATGACACTCGAGTCAGAACCTGACAAGACATGCTGCAAGAGACCATGCAGTATGGAGAACTGCCGGCAGGTAACCGCAGCCAACCCATGCGAACATGGAAAATGGAGGACTTGCTACATCCACTTGTTTCATTTTATAGGCATCTGTTTATATCAGTTTTTCCCACACATTTTTCTAGTTCCTGGTGTATTGCTGTTTTATATTAACAGTAAATATTATTTCTTCCTATTCATTATTGGTTTGAATGCGTAAACATATGTAAGGCTCTATGCTACTGGTTTGTTTTAGTACTGTACATTATAGAGCTGAAAATCTTATGATCAGGAACATATCCTTATATTATCCAGTTTAGGAATTTTGAAATGTACTGTACTGTACTGTACTGTATAGGGATTAGGATATAAGTGAATGCAAATGTTCATAACCAGTTGATGTTTTAAGAGAGAGAAAATGCATCATAATTGAGGCTGTATTTTTTTTTTTTTTTTTTTTTTTAAATTGGGCACCCCCCTACATCCTTGTGTAAGGTGAAGCGCAGAAGCGTTTACAGCGCCCAACAGGGAAGGATGCTAAGTTCATGCTTGCCTTTATGTCTCACGAGTTAAGGGCGTAGAAGCTTGAAGAGTCTGTTGTTTATGTCATCAAGTTATTGGAAGCTCCAACAACTTTCCCTTATTACGAATTCCCAACTTTCGACTTACAACAGGTACCTACTTTACTGGTAGGTGAACAGGGACTAATGGGGGCGAGGAAGTAAGTCCAAACAACTTCCACCGGCCCGGGAATCGAACCCGTGACATCTCGCTTGCGAGGCAAGAACGGTACCGCTTCTACCACCGGTCCCCCCTGAGGCTGTAATAAATATGCTTTGCTGTCATTTCATCACATAAAACGCCTGGTGGCAGACTGTGTTACATAGGTCGAATGAATCGCCCTAGAATTAACTCAAGTTAGGCCTAAGGGAAAGGTTTTGCAGGTCTGAAGTTTTCTGACTGAAAGTTGATATAATAGCCTGGTATTGTACCTCACTTGCTGTTTCTTATTACAAGGCATGTTAGTGAAGCACTGGCTGGTCTTTTGCACTCATGCATACATTTGTACTGTAAACAACTCGTTACAAGTTTCTATATATCGAGAAGTAGTTCCCAAATATTTTCCAGTGTGACCCCCCATCTAGTGCTGTCACCTATCCAGTGCGATTCCAAGTCATTATGTGTGTGAGGTGTCTTAGAACAAATACTGGCATATTTTTTTGCAAATTTAACCATAAAAACAAATAAGGAAAATGTATTACATAATGCATTAATCTAGAAGAATCATTTAATACCTATAGCATACCTGTTTATATCGTCATTTAATAGTCTATACCTGGAGGTGCAGTATGATTACAAGGTTAAGTAACTTAACTTACTGTACAATTTTCTTAGTTACAACTCTCACATTTTGTATGTGACGTGCAT